GTCATTGTCACCAAAATGAAAAGAAGACGCAAGGCAGGGTTGCTAGCCCCTTAGCAAGCCTGGGTCTTCAGTGCTAGTAGTTGTGGGCAGTGGTCAACAAAGATACGGTAGGGAAATCATATCCATAGGCCGGCATGTGTTTGTGTCTCTGTGTGCATTTGTGGGTGACATTTTTCAACCCAATTCCCATTCGCATTCTTCTCTCCTAATTTAAAGACTTGGGTCAGAACATACAAGTACCTAAATTGCTTGTTTAGAAAATACTATCACTGTAAGAACAAAAATAATATTTCCCAATAATGTTCCTCCTCATCTATGTGATTCCTGGGAAGAGGGTTTTATCTTAGATCAGCAGAGGTTACTACATTAATTTGGTTAAAAAGGAGAGCAGGCTGCCTTTAAGATGTTAGGGGATGGTTAGTTTTACTGTGGTGCCCCCTAGTGCCAGGGAAGAGTAGGTTAGTTTCTGTATTGCCAGTTTTTAGATCCCATGCCCAGAAGGAAAATGTGAAGAATCATCAGTGTTCGAAACCGCCCCCTCTGGCATAAAACAGAAGAAATCAAGCTTTCCAACACGATTTACAAGATCCTGTGCCATCCATGCCCGCCTAGATCTTCAGCTTCATCTCCTCCCTCCACTCTCTATGAACACTCAAGGTCAGCCGTACTGAATGATTTGCTAGTGTGCCTCCCTCCCCCATCGCTCCTGTCTGTGTGGGAAATTCCACTCTTCTCTCAAACATCAGTTGAATTATTTACTCTCTTGCTTCAGCTCTCCCAACTCCCCTCATACATACTCAGACATCTTGGACAAGCCTTCATCCTCCTCTCCTCTCCTCTTGCCCCTTGAGCAGGTTTCCACGTCTGCTGCCTTTTTGCCTCACCTTAAATCTGACCATTAATCCAAAGAACTTAAGACAGAAACAAACTCTTGTCCATGCAGTTACCCTATACTTCCAATAGTATCCTATATAAAAAGGCACTTAGAACGAAGGTAAGGATGCCCCAGCTGATAAAAAGAAGTCTAGTATAGGAGTCAAATTTGCCTAGTTAATTAAGTACATAGCTGATCGTGAGCAATTTACCCACCTTCTTTTGGCCTCTATTTTTTGTTTTTATAAAAGACTAGCTAATACCTCCTCAAAAACTCAGAGTCTTTGGGCCATTTCATTAATACCCACTATCAGAGCCTCAAATTCTTTATGATAAATTAATTCAACACTGCAAATGTTCTTTTATTAATTCTCAATGAGTTGCTCTAGAAAAGCAAATTTTACTTGCATTTGAAGTTATTTTATATATGTGGTTGAATAATTTCTAAGAAAAAGACATGTTTGATTACATGTAGTCATTTAAATTAAGCTAATTCTAGACAAAAAGTTAAGGCAAATTCCTCTTTCCGGTATTTAACAATACAAAAATAAATTGTTGAAGTTATGATATGAAACATCACCAAGAAACTGAATTCTAATTTTGGCTCTCCTTGACACAAACCACTTCTGCTTTTCCCAGCAGAAAATAAAAAGCAACAAGAAGGTGGGATTTGAAAAAAAAAAAAAAAGAAAGAAAAGAGAAAAAAAAGAAGGTGGGATTTGTTAAGGAAAAAGTCCTTAACTCTGGAAAAAAAAAAAAGGTCACAATAAAGGTGACACAGAGCTTGGAAGACTTCAACAGCCCCGGAACACACAAATATAATTTATAAAAGTGTCTTACAGGCTTGGGAGATAGTTCAGATGATATGGCATTTGCCTAGAAAACATGAGCAACAAAATTCAATCCCCAGAACTCACATAAAAATGCCAGGCGTAAGAGTGTGTGCTTGTAATCCTAGTTCTGGGAAGGTGGAGACAGGAAGATGTTTGGGTTCACTAGCCAGACAGTCTAGCCTAACTGGTGCACTCCAGACCAATGAGAGATGTTGTCAAAGAGAGGAGGAGGCACTTCTGAAGATGACATTCGAGTTCGTTCTCTGGCCTCCACGTGCGACTGCCGATACACACACAGCCTTGTACACCAAAGCAAGCACGCACTCATAAACCCATACATATACACCCCCACAAACACTACAATAAAAATAATAAAGATAAAAGGCTTCTCACCCCCTAGACCAGTTTTCCTTCTGCTATTGCTTCCTAGTTAAAGTTCCAGATAAGACCGAAGCCTGGCACTTTACTGAGCACCTCATGGCAACGCCCAGTGTGTAGGGCCAGCAACCGCAGCCTTTGGTTTTAGAATTCAAGCCACTGATATTCTAGAGTCTTCGTGTCCTTCCTCATTCTAAATGGGGTATTTTATGAACTCAGAATAGGTTATTTACATAACTACAGAGAGCATAAATTAGAAAGAAAGTGTGTGCAGGAAAATAGGATTTCTTCCAGGCTAGTCTTAAAAACCAAGAAAGCTGTGCATTTGGGCACAGAAATCTGCTAACACACCTTTTCTGTTCCTTCAGCTCTCGGCCTATTCTTTGAAATGCCATGTTCATTATCTGCTGGGCTGAAAGAGACCTCAATGTCCATCTCATACAGTCACCTACTCTTACCAAAGAGAAAACCAAGACCCAAAGGAGAAAGTGAACTAACTGCATGAGATGTACATCAGGACTGTCCTTTTTTTTTTTTTTTCTGTGGTGGGTATGGGGGGAATACATTCCAAAGACAAAAACTGCTTTTCATATATGTGAATGATATTTAACCCAGTAATTATTATTACTAAATAAACTTGAAAGAAAACTTGACAGCCAGAGAAAGTTTAAAAGCTGTTACTTCAGAATCTTGAATGTAGATAATAAGGCTTAAAAACAAAGCTAAGAAATAAGGGGGAGAGACAGGATTTTTTCAAAATACTTTGCTCTCACAACAGAAAAAAAAAAGGCAGTTTTCCTGGTATAGAATACGCTTTGCAATTCAGTTTCCCCTGACACAGCACTACAACATATGTCTCCCAGGAGAGCTTTAATTGCATCATCCCCACCACCTGATCCACCCGCAACCACAACACCAAACATTAGTGTTCTCAAGTGTTACGGGCCCCTTTGTCAGAGATATTATCTTTCCCTCTCATCTCTCCTCCATCAATACAATCTGACCAAGTTCCAGGGCAATGGTCAACCTATCCATGCTCTCCTCCCCTTAGTAAGTGAGACTAAAAAGAATGATTCCTAGCATTGCCCAGGTCCTACAATGCTGTAAATGTTCTAGATAACTAAGGCCCCAGATCATCTCTATCAAGAGCAATCAGGCTGCTTATTTCATCAGCAGACAGCTTCAATGTTCGATGTACCTCTCCTAACTTCTGATTCTACTTCTGAGCCAAGACCCCAGAAAACAAATTTTCTCCTAGACTGCAGTTTAACTTCAGGCCCTAGAGATGTGGCTTTCGTTTGGTTCCCCACCTCTGCAATAGAGTTGCTGGTGACTTGAAGAAAGGACCCCTATTCTTTCCATGTCATGGGGGACACTGAATACAGAGGCCCCAGGCACCAGCCCTTTATGCCTCTTTCACTTTTTGCTCTCTCTTGTTCTTCCTTGATGCCCCTGTGTACCTGGTTACCCTAGACTTGGGCCTTGTATCCTGTCTTCATCATCCCACAGAGTAAGGAAACACACAACCCTGCGGTTTGAAATGGCCCAAGACTCCCTGACCTATTCAATGCACTCTGCTGGTCTATTTTTGGTTACTCTGTTTGCTTTCTTCTGAAAAGAACCTAATTCCGGTCTGTATCTTAGGCATCCTACCACAGACACAGTACTCTACCCTGGTACCTTCTCCCCAGAGTGAATCCTTGTCATCCGGAGTCCTGTGTGGAGTGGAGGAAAGAAAACGGCAGTACTCTAACTGGTAAAGCAGACTTGAACATACACTTTCTAATTTATGCTCTCTGAGGTTGTTTAAATAACCTTTTCTGAGTTCATAAAATGCCCCATTTAGAACAAAGAAAGACATGCCAGCTACATTTCTGGAGTTTGTAGGCACAAGTGGCAAGCACCCGACACGGTTCAGCGGTCGTGAACACATACACTCCCACTAGCTTCTATATACTGAAAACCCCACTTCCTGTAAACAAAGACAAGCCCAGGCATTTGCCTGGACTCTTCATCATATCCTGGTTTAATCTGAGGTAGCTGTACCTCTGACATGTCCATTAAAAATAAGTTCCATTTTGCCTGTCATCTATCACGGAAAAGTTTCCTGAGATAAAGCAAACACTGAGGAAATAATTATGATGCCAGATCCAACAGAAGGTTCAGGGAGACTACAGACAGTTACCTTCTACAATGAAGAACATTTAAAAAAAAAACACACAAACACACAAAAAAAAAGCACACGCATAAAAAAAAACCCTCTGGGGTTTTAAAGTGGTTATCAGAAAACAAACGGCTATAAGATGAAGTTATATGAGCACACACACCAACAGATGTGCACACACATGTTGCAGCCCTTCAGATAAAAAGCCGTGATGGGAAAGGGCTGAATATTGACACCTTCAGGGTTATCAAAAAATCAGGTCCCTTGAATATCGGATAAAAAGCCGTGATGGGAAAGGGCTGAATATTGACACCTTCAGGGTTATCAAAAAATCAGGTCCCTTGAATATCGGTAGATGCGTATGATAGGATCTGTTACTGATCTCTTTTTTGTATTGATTCCTTGATTTGATAGTTGTTCCCAGAATGGATAGGCAAAGCAGTGACCCAAAGCTTCAGGGTGACAGCTCACCAAGACACATTCGGATTTTTGCATTACAAAGAAAATGACAAAAAAAAAACTAATCTAAAAGCAGGGCTTCTCTGCCCTTCAGCCTGCCCTGCCTCTGCACCTGTTGAGCTAAGAAGGGAAGGAAACACCAAAGGGCATCTGACCACACATTACAATCACCTGGTGGCAATGGCAGGGCCCTCACCAGTTTTAACATTCGATTATTTCCAGGAAACTGCAGCCGTTGTAACTGCCATTCACCAAGAGTTGGAGAAGAAGCAACACCCAGTGATGTATCTTACCGGAGCAGGATAGAGATGCAGGCAAATGTAGATCAGGCACAGAAGCAGCCCCACTCCCTGAATCCCAGAGACCACCTTCGATAGCTTCTTCCACTTGAACCTTGTTTCCAGATTCTCATTCAGGGGCTGAACCCCTTCCATCTTCACAGTCTGTGTGCAGAAACGATGCAGATGTGGGGAAGGGGAACCTGGGGAAGACTGATCTTTACCACAGAGAAGATAAGGGCACAGCCAAGCCTGCAGGTCAGAAGATAGACAAAGGTCCCAGAACCTGAGACAACAGGCAATTGAAGGAGTGAGGCAGACTCTCTCAGTTTTAACTCTGCAGCTTTTGCAGGCGGGGGAACTTCTATGTGACTAATCTGAATTTCCCCTTTACTTTCTTTCTTTTTTTTTCCCTCTGGGCTAACAGGGAGTTGTTTTTGTGGCATTCCAGTTATGAATCGAGTGACTTCGAAATGATAGTCACAAACATGTGCTATTAGGGTTTTTATTGTAGTTTTTTATTGCACCAGTAAAGATAGATAAAGATCATCTTTTGTTCTTTTACCCCCCCCCTTCTTTTTTAAGCACAGCTTCTTTATCAATCCCTCAAGATGTCTTAAACCACAGAAGAGATTTGAGGAAATTGCCCTGACATCCTTTCTGTATTATGTAATTAATCTCCCAGCCCTTTTTACGGACCCTAAAATAAAACTCTTGCAACTTGCCCTTGAGATGAAAAGGACAAAGAGGAACATAGGATGGTGGATTATGCAGACAGGCATAAAGGTGAGGTCTTAGAGTTACATAATGCTTTGCGTTAAACCAAATAAATTAGTATTTATTGAACAACTGCTATGTGTCAGACACTGTGTTAAATGACCTTGCAACCATCATATTTATTCATTTCAGGGAAACTCAGTAAACACATAATTATTTTCTTACTATCAGAAAAGATACAGAAGAAAATTCTGCCCTCCCCCCTACTCAACTTTTTATTTTCCCCACACATAATCTCTGCATGAGCAATTCGAGTTACCTTTGAGTGTTGCTCTTTTCTTCCAAGTGCTGGCTGCACTCAAAACCTGCTAAGTAAGAATATCTTCCCAGGGCTGGAGAGATGACTCAGCGGTTATGCTCTTCCTAAGGACTGGGGTTCAAATCCCTGCTCTTACATGGTGCCTGACAAGCCATCTGTAATTCTACCTCTAGAGGATCTGACTCCCTTTTCTGACCCTTGTGGGCACCAGGCATGCAAGGGATGCACATGCATGCAGACAGAATATCCATATATGAAAAACGAAAACAAAAAACCTTTACGAATATACCCTTCCAATAAACATTGGTCACCCTTTCTCACTGACATGCACTTGGAACTAAATAAATGTGAAATAATGTCAGGTCCAAAATGGTAAAATATTTACTGAATACGTGATATGAAGTCAATGCTATGTAAGATAGTGAAGGGATGCTAGACATTATTCTCTCTACCTATCTCTATGGGAAAGTATGTCTTATGGTTTCTCATGGAGCCTTCAGCGGATGTTTAAAGAAAGAATTGAGAGAAAACATATTCTGAATGCTAGAAATATAAGAAGATACATAAAACTTCAAATTTTTCACAATTAAAAACAATTATGGATATGAGTTATATTCAAAAGAAGAACAAGCATAGAAAATGGAAAGTACTTTGGCACAATATTCAACAATTTAAATAACGAGGCTTTGCCTTTGAAGAACATACTGGAACTAAGGCATACATCCAAGATTTAAAGCCAAAAGTGGGACTCGGGTTCTTCAAAAGCTACTCTGCCGTAAAGAGATTCCCTCAGCAAAGTGTGAGCGAGGCACAGGGAGCGAAGACAAAAGGTGAAAGGAAAATCTGTGTGTAACTCCTGCCTAGCATAATACACAGTTAAAAATACGGCTGAAAGAGATATTAGCGGAAAAGCCCTAAACTCTAATCGAAGCTAGACACAAGCTGAAACAGTAGAAAATGCATTCATATTGAAAATCACAAGGGATAGTCTGGCTAGGCGTCAGTGTGTGAGTGTGTCTGTGTGTGTCTTTGTGTGTGTGTGTGTGTGTGTGTGTGTGTGTGTCTGTGTGTCTGTGTGTGTGTGTGTTCAAGAGCATGAGTGCAGGTATTTGTATGTGGGGGTGGCATGTGCATGAGGGGGTGGCATGTGCATGAGGGGGATCCATGTAGGGGGCACATGCATGTGTGGCTAATGTAGTGGCTGGAGGTCGATGAACATCAAGTGTCTCCTTCAGTTGCTCTCCAACTTAGTCTTTGAGGGATGATCTCTCGCTGAACCAGGAACTTGCATTTTGACTAGACTGGCATGCATACAAAAATCCTCCTGTTTCAGTTTCCCTGGCTCTGGGGCTATGAGCATGCTCCACTGCAACCAGCTTTTACACAGATGCTGGTTCAGAACCTCATGTTTGCATGGGAAGTGCTTGACTGACTGAACCGTTTCCTCCAAGTCTTGGGAATATTTTAAATGACTGCCGAAAGGACAAAAATAAACAAACGAACATCTATGAGCACAAACCTGTGCAGCACGCACGTAGCTTCCCTTATCACTGGCATCATGCTCCTCTGAAGAAAAATTAATAAATACTTTTTTCTTCTATACAGTGGGAACTGTAGAATTGCTTGGTATCTTGTGCCAAGAAAGTAGAGCACAGATATGCTGTAACTCTCCCTCTTGACTTCCTACTGCTGTTTTGCTTCCTGTGATCTTTATTGAAGTTTAAGTAGTACCTTACTCTTGTTTCTTTTTTATTGACCACAGTCTCTTGGCTTCTTCACAGCCCTTATGAAAGGGAAGACACACAAAAAATGCATACACATACACACACACACACACACACCACACAAACACACCACACACACATACACACACAAGAGAGAGAGAGAGAGAGGTAGAAAACAAGCTGGGCATTCTGGATGAGCTCTTTGATAGACTGTGTGAGTGTCTCAAAGTCACCATTGGGCTGCTCTAGCATTTGAACATGACTCTTAAAAACTACTGGCAATTACATCATTGGTGGCCTTTCAGTCCTGAGCAAATGGGCAGATATCTTGAAAATACTTTTTAATAAAACATAGTTGAAAGGTTTGTAAAGAACTCGAGTGAATTACTAACCCTGTGAGCAGTGTGTTTTAAAACATCTTACACAAACGTGTCTGCCAGAATAAATTAGCTTTGAATCTAGAAAGTAAAATAAACCAAGGTGATTACTTATCATAGACATTAACCTCATATAGGAAGAACCAAAGCTATAGAGAAGTATGGAAAATAAAAATACTTCAAAAGTTGACAGAACATCTCATGTTCAGAAAGTAGCAAAACTTTTGGGGGCTTTTTTTTGGTTTGGGGGATTTTGTTGTTGTTTTGGTTTTCTGGTATTTGGGGCTTTTTGTTTGTTTGTTTGTCCATTTGAAATGTCTATGTATGTCATCATTTTCCACTCAGTAAGCCTGGGCCAGGTGCCTTAATACTGGTGCTGGGGAAAAACACGTGAGTAAAACGTATCCTGAAGAGGAGTCACAGAAAACACACGAGGAAAACATACCCTGAAGAGGAGTCACAGAAAAGAAGGTAGCACGGCCATAGCCTGGAAGATGTTAGAACTGAGGTATCAAGGAAAGGAAGAAGCATGCAGCAAGAGGGTACCACTCTACACTGAAATTTAGAAAGGTAGCTCCCCTGACATGAGTTGGGTAGATCTCAGAGAAACCAGAGGTCTGATCTTCTAAGGAAGCAGGGACAGGCAGCGGGGACAGAAGCAGCCAGTACACTCTGGGTAAATCTTACTTGTGCCTTGTGCATTCAGGGAATTGCAGCTAGAGAAGTGCATGGCGGGTGAGATTCTGGGAAGCTTTCCTGAAATGAATTTTGTTACAAGTCAAGGACTTTAGAATGTTCCTTGAAGAAGCCAGGGAAACCCTTACAGGCTTAAGCAGAAGATGATGTGACTTATATTTTAGACTTTTTAAAATAAGGACTTGGAATACGTCCAATGCAAATTGAAGGGTGGGGTTAAATGTCTTCCACTCGGGAGACCTGTGTAGGGTGTTCTGTGCCAACCAAAAATGTATGCTCTATAGAATCACCTCTGTTTCAGCTCCCCAAGCCCTTCATCTTTTATCTTTCTACAATGGTATAATCTACTTCCCAAATACTGAAGGACTGCTCCCTGCAGATTAATGTTCTTTTTTTAGTTCTTGAACCCAGAGAGGGCGCGTTGTTCCAATTCACACAATTATTTAAGTGAGAAATAGTATGATTATAAACCAAAGTAAAGAGACCAGTGAATGCAGAGATATTTACAGTGGCTCTTCACACACCAAATACTTGGAACATTCACAAGGAGTTATAACCAAGTGTATTGAGTGTTTGAGTAAGATCCGTGGGAAGGGATAGAGTTAAATGCATTTTCAAATACTAGGTTTGCCCTCGTTGTTATCAACCTGCTGTGGACCCTGATGTCCTGGTTTGGCTGCCCAGGACGCTCTGAGTCATAGAATCAGTACTGGCTTTTCTTTACTCTTGATCAGTCAGACTTTGCAGAGCCTCTGTCCCCAAAGTGGGGCTCCTGGGCTCATGTTATCTTATTCTTTCCATCCCTGCTGCTGCTGCTTTGACCCAAAACTGTATTTCTTCTTAGTTGAACTCCCAAATTAAACTTTCAGCCTCCCTCTCTACTTCATTCTCATTGATTCTCAAACCATTTGTTTCTTATGCTCAGTGAGATCATAACCATATGGAGAATTGAAATTCTCTGGGCAGGGAGGTGACTCGGCACACAAAGGACTTGCTGCCAAGCCTGACGACCTAAGTTCAAACACGTGCAAAGTCAGTCTCTCTCTCTCTCTCTCTCTCTCTCTCTCTCTCTCTCTCTCTCACACACACACACACACACACACACACACACACACACACATTTAAGAGTGAAAGAGCTAAAATTCTCTAACTCCACATTTAGTCTTTCTAAGTTTCCTCTCCAAACTTACCTTCCTCTTTTTCTGTTTCTGATATCCACTCTGCCTCAGAAACCTTTGTGTTTTATCGCTCGCTGCCAAACCCCTATGTACTTGCCCAAGAAGGATGCCTTGTGAGGTAGGGGCCTTCAAGTGTAATCTAAAC